AGGTGAGTATTACGTTAGTGTTCCGTGAGGCTTGTCTGGCGATGCAGTGGAGTTGGCGTGCTTAAGGAGGTTTGACAAGACTAATCTATTTGATAGACTAACTTGTGACAATCTTGTTAAGTAAAGATACTAGTAAGAAAGTACAATTTGAGTTGACCACAACGAATGTAATAATGAAATCCAACCCATTCTTATATCCGTTGCCTTTGGTCCTGCCATCCCTTACTTCCCTGCCATCCCTGGGATGGTTGTGATGTTGGGGATGGCTGCCATCCCAAGGCGTCCTGCCATCCCTCGGATGGTTGCCCTTGGCGGGATGGCACATCACGTGACCTAGCCCCGCGATGATCATTACCTTCTGACGTGGACGTCCATAGGCCTTCAGCCATCTCGTCATTTGTCAAGGAGAGAATCCTTCTTGTTACTTGTAACATAAACGCGTTCTTTAAAGACTCTTTAATTAAGTAAAAAGCTCTATAGTATCTCCGTAAAACTAAGTAAGAGAAAGGCGAGTTTCTTCTTCACGTATAAGCTTTTAATCTAAAGTTTAATAAAGCTAGTTTCGGACAAGATAACGACGCGTTGAAAATTAACTACTTTAAGAATTCTCTTAATAGGAAGCTACTTTGTTACTAAGCTAGGTACTAGCCTCCTTTAAACGAGACGTACGACGCCTTTGTGCATCGACTTAGGAGCACTTAGGAAAATCTTAAAGTAATCGACCAACTCTTGTCTAATGCGCTCTTCTACTCCACTTCTCTCCCTACGGCTACCCTAGCTACTATGAACGAAATGGACTAGACGCCTAATATAGGCGCTATGCGCCCCCATACGAGGAATGAGTACTAGGGTATATAAAGCCAAATCGCTTAACGTAAAGAGAAGGGTAGCTGCCTACGTTGTGGTATTTACGACCACCTTATACAGCAGTGTAAAGTAACAGTCCTAAAACGCACGCGTAAGCTAGAGACTATAATAAAAGTCCTAACCGCTACCTTAGAAGACGAGAGCTTAGATAAGAGAAAAGAAGAGCCCTAGTCTAAAAGCGCTAACTAGGGCAGCCAAAGCAGGATAAGTAGGTCGTACGACCTATTCAAGAGCTACTTCACTAACTAAAGCCTACTCAGCCAATGTCTATAGACGTAATCGTTAATCTTTTAAAAAACGCTACTACTATAATTAATAACGGGTGCTATACTTATGCGATAGTATATAAAAGACTTATATAAGAACTTAATCTACCGCGTGTATCTATCTCTACTAGGGAAATTAAAGGTGTTAATAACTAAAAAAGCACTATATAAGCTATTACTCAATTTATTATAGATATTAGAGGAATTAAGCGAAAAGCAGCTGCTTTTATCACCACGTCTACGTACGAGTACGATATTATTTTAGGGAAAACATAGCTTGAAGATATAGAAGGTGTTATTAATATAGCTAGACGGACACTTCTTTTTCCGCGTTATAATCTCTCCGTACCTAGTATAGAGAGAACTAAACTATTATAGAACTTCGCCGTAATCTTAGTAGCTACCTTTTAGGCCCACGTATAATAAAGCCGAAAACGGCCAGCTCTATAAGTCTTCGCTACTAGTCTCTAAGATATTAAGAAAGCTCTCTATCTAAAGATGTAGCTAACTATAGTAGAAGTAATTAAGTCTCTTCCTTTATACTTATAACTATACGCCTCTCTATTTACTCTAAAGAAAGAAGATAAGCTCCTGTCTCTATAAGGCCCGGACGTTGACTATAAGATTAAACTAATCTCTAAAGACAACGGGAAGCTGCTAGAAGTCCTATATGGACCTCTCTATAATATATCTAGAGATGAACTTCTAGTACTACGTAAGATACTGTATAAGTTACTTAAGAAAGGGTTTATCCGCGTAAGCAACTCTCCTGCCGCGTTACTAGTCCTTTTTATACGAAAACCTAGGGGAGGACTAAGATTCTGCGTAGACTACTGCGCTCTAAATGCGCTAACTTATAAGAATTATTATTCTCTACCTCTTATATAAGAGACGCTAAATTAAGTTAGATGAGTAAAGTAGTATATAAAACTTAATGTTACGGCCGCCTTCTACAAAATCTAGATTATAGAGAGCTAGGAATAAATAACTACTTTCCGTACTTAGTTTAGATCGTATAAGTGGCTAGTTACTCCTTTTAGGCTTACTAACGCCCCTAGCACATTCTAGCGCTATATTAACTGGACGCTGCGCGAGTTTCTAGACGATTTCGCTTCCGTCTACTTAGACGATATCCTAATCTATATAGATGGCTTAATATCTTAATATTACGGATATATATAATAAGTAATCGAGCGTCTGTAAGCTGCAGAGCTGTAGCTTGAACTTAAGAAGTGCGAATTTGACGTCTAACGTATAAAATACTTAGGATTTATTCTTAAAGCAGGAAAGGGCGTCTTAATGAACACTAAGAAAATAAGAGCTATTTAAGAATAGGAAGCTCCAGCTACCGTACGAGGCGTGAGAGGGTTTCTTAGGTTCGCTAATTTCTATCGCAGATTTATCCCTAACTTCTTAAGACTCGTAGAACCTCTCGTACGGTTAATAAGAAAAGACGCCAAATTTAAATGGGGCTAAGACTAAGAGCTAAGCTTTACCGCCCTTAAGGAAGCTTTCCTCTCTAACGAGATGCTAGCTGCCTTTAACCTAGATAGGTAGATAGTAGTAGAATGTAACTTATCTGGACGAGTAATAGGCGCTGTACTCCTATAAGAAGATAACGAAGGTATTCTACGTATGATAGCTTACTTCTCTTAAAAGCTACTAGTATACGAAGCGAACTACTTAATTCACGACAAAGAGCTACTAGCGGTAATCTGCTGCTTAAAAGAGTAGAATGCTGAATTATAAGGCATACGAGAGTTTGAGGTAGTAACAGACCATAAGAATCTTAAATACTTCACCTATAAGTAAAAGCTCTCTAAACGACACGTACGATAGAACTTGGAACTAGCCCGCTTCCTAAATATAAAACTCCGCTATCGCCCTAGCAAGAAAAACGTACGGGCGGACGCCTTGTCTAGACGAGACCAGAATATGCAGAAGAACGATCTAGACGAGCATTTAGCATCGAGGGAATTCACCATACTAGTGCCAGCCCAGGCCCAGAAGAATATTGCGATTATGCCTGTACGAGACACCACCACCACTCAGAGGAATACCTCGCCCCTAGTGTCCACTACGCTGCCTCAACCACCGCACTTTCCTACGCTCGTACGAGACTATTGAGATAACGCCGCGCAAGCAGATTCCCTATACTAAGAAGTAAGAGCAGCTGTACGAGAAGGAAAACGATCTCTTCTAAGCTCCCGTAAGATTGCTATCTCCTTAGGCGACTGTACGATTAATGCTAAAGACAAGCTATGCTGGCGTAACAGAGTATAGGTACTTAAATGTGAACCACTCCGGACGGGAGTCATCCAAACGGCGCATCTATCTCTGCTAACAGAACACCCTAGACGAGAGGAAACATACAGAATCATCGCAAGAGAATAGTATTGGCCAAATATAAGCACTAATGTACGCCGTTACGTACGGAACTGCGAGCTATGCAGAAAAAGCTCCCTCTGGAGGGATGGGAAATATAGGTACCTAAAACTATTGCCTATACCTAGCCGTACGTAGTAACATCTAACAGTCGACTTCATTATGGGTTTATCTAGCTCTTAAGGAAAAACTAATCTTATGGTGGTGAAGGATAGACTAGGTAAAGACGTTGTACTAATCCCTATAGATAAGATTGAAATAATAGACGTCGCCTAGGCCTTTATACGAGAAGTCTACCGGCACCATAGCCTCCTATAATCTATCACGTCCGACCGCGGACTTTAATTTGCCAGCTCTCTTTGGAAGTAAGTCTACTAGTTACTTAGTATTCAAAGAAATCTCTTAACAGCCTACTACCTATAAACGGACGGAATAATAGAGCGCGCTAATAGCGACATAGAAGTAGTTGTACGGATCTTCTGCAACTATAATCAAGATAACTAGTTATAACTCTACCCTCTTCTAGAACTTATACTTAACTCCCGTACGAACATAATAATAGAAGTTTTACTCTTTTTCCTTTACCATAGTTATTATAATACTCCTTTTCCCCAGCCCTAAATAGTTATACAAGCCGACGAAGTAGGAGAAGCTATAAAGAATATCGTCTAGACGATTAGTAATGCCGCTAACTAGGCCATATCTGCTATAACGTACGCTTAATAAGAGTAAGAACGATAAGCTAATAAGTCCCGCAGACTAGCGCCCACCTATTACGTAGGAGACTGGGTATAGCTAGACTTATGCGACGTACGTACGACTAGAGGTAGTAAGAAACTTAATTAGAAAAGCGCTAAGTTCTAGATTGCTCGCGTACGAGATCCTTACTAGGTGGAGTTAGCCGTGCTATAGGAAACGAAAACTTACTATGTAGATAAGCTCCGTCTAGTGGCCGACGACCTATTCCTATCACAGTAGACGGACGACGCTAGCCCAGCAGCTATAGTCGTACGAGACAATGAGAACGACGAAGAATACTTAGAGTGGATAGTACGAGATATCACGGACGAGAGAATAAGGCATAAGCAAACGGAATATCTTGTCCATTGGGCGGGCTACGACGAGCCCACATGGGAGCCCGCCGCCCACCTCGCTAACACTACCGCCCTACAGTCATGGTTGTCCCACACCTAACCTAGACGACAACCTAACGGACGACTTAGAAGAAACTAGCGGAGGCAAGCCCACCTACTCCACGAGCAAGAGGTTCTCGGCACCACCCGCAGCCGGACAACCACGCTGGCTGCCACTGCTAGAACCGCCAGAGAGCCTCTTGCGCCCACCTCCTGTACGAGAGACTGTCTGCTGAGTAACACTGCAACGAGCTCCATAATCTTGCCAGACGCAGTTAGAGCAGGCCCCGCCCCACTCACCAGCGATGGACACGCAGCCAGCAAATGCGGTAAACTCCTTCTCGCCTCGCAAGACAGCAGCGCAATTGTTTGTATAAAAAGTCGCGTTAAGAGCGCCGCGGCTATGCACAACAAAGGCCTTGAGGTAGGACGGACGGCCAGTAAGAATCTGTCGAGCAGTGATAGTCGTACGCGCGATCACAGGCGAGTAGTCGTAAGGACCCGGACCGAAGACAGCATCGTACGGACTATTGCCGCGAGGACGACAGAAGTAGTCAAACACACGGCGAATGTCCTCCTACACAAGTTAGCACCAGCCGTACGAGGAGTCAGAGAAGTATTACGTACGGGAGCAACCGCGTAAATACGGCGCAGCTTATCTGCGACGCGCTGATCGAAGACAAACTAGACACGATACTCGTTTAAGTCGACAGCGCCTAGCATGTTGAAAGTTAGCAGTATAGCACCAGGCGTCGTATGAGTCAGAGCTTGGTAGGCAGCGTTAAAGATTTAGTTAGCCACGTTGTTAATAGTGTCATTGGGGCCACCGCTAGTGCAAAACTGTAAACTATTGGTATTTACGTTAGCCCAGATACCGCGAGGGGGTGGTTGCGCCTTAGGCGGCATCGTACAAGTTTGGCCAGAAGACGAGAAGAAACTTGTGTAGCAGTGGAGTCAAATTGAATTAGCACAAAGGAAGAAAAGCTGGAGAAGAGAGACGGCAGCTCTATATATCGTACGGAGGGAGCGTTTGCTCTCGTGGAAATCCTCCTTCACCAGAGCAAACAGACGCCGCCGCTCCACCGCAAGTTAGGCAGCCGCGCGCTTCTAGGGAAACAAACAAACGTAAACATGTCCGTACGAGTGGAGGAGGGGAGTATTGTAAAGGGCTGCGCCCATGATCTCTACCGAAGGGATCACGTAGTCGATGACCACGTGATATGCCTTCCGTACAGACACGTGATCAGAAGCGAGCAAGTATAAGAGAAGCCTGTACTTAGTTATCCTCTCTTTTTCTCATCTTTTAGCTTCTGTACGATAGGTAGAAGCATACTCGTTCGCTAGGCCTCTCCGCCCATAACATTAAGCTCGCGTGTATTACTAGGCGTACGAGCCTACTAGAGGGCCTCTAGGATAGCTGGTGGAGTAGGCGTACAGAGCTTTATATTAAGCTTTAATAGAATAGTATCTAGCTAGAGAGGAATAAGGCCTACGCCGTAGAAGGCAGAGTAGATATTAGCTAGCGTAAAGGATTAATTAAATGCTATCTTAAACGCTAGTAGAAACTTAAGCTTAGTAATATAGTTAATATAGTAGCAGATTAGACTCTTCACTTCGCGGCTATACGCGCGCTTTAATAGTAAGAAGTAGCTAACGTTAAGAGGCTAAAGTAGATAAGACGAGTAAGGCGGTATACAAAGCGTATAGATATTATTCTCCTTATAGAGCTCTTAGAACTTAAGTAACTAGTGGCTCTTATAGCCGTTAAGAATAAGTAGCTAACGTGCCTTAATAACCTTACCATCTGTATGCTTAATAAAGTGCTTTAACTACTTAACTCTTAGCTTATTAGTTGTCTAGCTGTTGTTACTAACTGCGATCGCCCAGTCGCGTAGGATCTCTGCTGTAACGGCGCAGGCAAGACTACTCGAATTAGTATCGGCAGTAGCGTCACTCAGAGGCATATGGGAGTGCGTGGGACATCAAACGAGCCTTAATTCGAATAGACACCTATAGGCCTTGTACGAAAGGATATCAAAAGTCTACAGAGCTAGCTACAGGGAGTGTCTCCTTATATACTTATCTTAGTCGGATCCGAATCGGATCCGACCTCACAACGAGTGGTTGATGAAGAGGGCGGCGAATACTACCTCCGATCCGGCTCTGGGATTGGTCCGATACTTGGCGAAGTTGTAACGTCGTTACATCTGCCTCCTTATACTAGATAGATAGGTAATACTTACCAGTAAAGATTAGAAACAGTAGGATAGACTAGCTAGCTGCGTTAATCCTAGCGATAAACGTCACCTACTCGCGACTGCCTAGCTAGATAGCCTTTAGTCGCGCTCTTCTTTCTAACGCTATAATAATAAGCTAAGTAGTAATCTTACTTATTATAAAGCTAGCTTTATTAAAGTTATAGACGTCCTTATTACAGATGCTATACTTAGCCTTTATCTACTCTATAAGCTTAAACTAGCTCTTAATTAAGACTGTATCTTTATATAGAGCTCTCTACCTATTGTACGCCCGATTAAAACGCGTCGTAAGACTATCTATACGCTTAACAAAGTTGGCTAGCTACTTCTGTCTAATCTAGCCAGCGCCGCGCGCAGCTAGCAGCTTATCAGCTATATCGCGTATAGCAGCGTATGTAGGCGCAAATCTACGTGAATTAAGATTAAGTATATAATTAACTATCACCTCCTCTTCTAGCTTAGTAAGCTTCTTTGAGTTGGGCTGGCAATCGCGTCGGGCAGGGCAACCAGCGCGTCGGCGGTAGAGTGTAGCTCGCGAGATATTGAACGTCTTAGCAGCGTATCTCTTAGTTTGAATTTGCTTTGTATTAAGAGCTGAAATCGTAAGATATATATCAGCCTTATAAGTGACTTTAGGAGCTTATTGGGGGGACGCTATAGTTGGTTGAAGTTAAGGCGTGGTGCAAAGTTGGTGGGGTGGCTCACTCGCTTGCCTGGCTCACTCGCTTATCCAACACGTTATGCTATGATGATACTGTTCTATACGCTATATTGTCAAGATAAGTTCGCTGAATTAATTCTTATTGCTAGTTTCTCTCTGTCTCTATTATTTCAAGCTGCATAGCGTTGCGTAGTATGCCTTAACATAATGTAGTAGGTAATGTTGGCCGGCCGACCGCAAACTTTACGTACTTGCTGCGTACTGTAGCGCGTGCACACCCAACCACCCTCATACTTTGGCTTACCTACCCGAGTCTAATTAACTATTACCTCTACTTCTAGTTTAGTAAGTTTCTTTAAGTTAGGCTAGCAATCGCATTGGGTAGGCCTGCTAGCGCGTTGGCGATGGAGAGTAGCGCGTGAGATATTGAACGTAGCTACAGCGCACCTTTCAGTTTGAAAGCGATTTTTTTAAGAACTGATACTGAAAGGTGTATGTATAAAAATCTTATGAAGGACGTGTTATGATGGATTTGGTGGAGTCATTGTGTGTCGTAACAAGAGAGGTGCGCAAAGTTGGTGGGGTAGCTCACTCACTTGTACGCCTCACTCGTTTGTAAAACTCGTTAATTGAAGAAAAAAAGAGAGAACAAAAACCCTCCCTCGCCTTAGCCTACGGCGCGTGTACCTCGTGGGGGAAACCTTTGATGCGCCACCAAAAAAGAAAAGCTCTCCAGCGGGGAATTGAACCCCGGTCTCCCGCGATCTGTCAATTGCTTGACAAGCGGAAATACTGACCACTATACTACTGAAGAAGAGGATCTGAAAAATTGTTGAATATTTCAATTAATAGAAAGAACTTGTGATTCCAAACCATGTGAGATATAACGCTTGTAGCTCTTGTGGGGTCCTACTGAGAGATCATTTGAACGAAAACCCTTGCTCTGATCAGGACGAAACCTTGTGAGGAAAGCGGTATGAAAATTCAGGTGTTGATGACCTGGTTTATACTATGTGATTTCAATTGAGGTATATGCTCGCTTTGAGGAGTTCGAAGAGGGGGTAGATGTTAGCAATGGTAGGGGCAAGAATTGTGGAGACCTGATGATGTCAGTCAAGACGACTGATCATGTCTGATTCATATGGTAACTAATATTATTAAATCTATCGACTCGAAAGAATACTCTCTCCTCATCTAGATCTGGGGCGATTTAAATACTACTTCTAATTTTATCTTCAAACCTAATTCTCATTCCATTGAATGTGCTATAACGTCGCCAGGTTTATCTAAGAGCTCCCACTGCACCACCTTCTATCTATGGATGCTACCTTCACGCTGTCTAAAAGCACTCGGTGGCCTACTCTGTGACCCAGAGCTGTCTGCCTTCTCCACATTGCCCTGTTCTTCATCTCTTGTTTCACCCCCGGCACCACTGCTCTTCATGCCACCTGGTGTTCCACCAAAGCTGACCAGCACAGCTGGGTTATCGGCGGTCAGTGCATCTAGCACTCCCAATTCCTGCTCGGAAAACCATTTCGGCATACAGAAGGTGCGTAAAGGAATCAGGGCGATGATGAGTACTGGGAAACCGATAGCGGCAATGGTCTGAGAGATGGCAACCGTGCAAGCAACGCCCAGGATTTGGATACAGATGAAAAGCCCAATTTTCTTACGAGGGACAGTGTTGAGAGGGTTTTGTGGGTCGAGAAAGCGTCTTTCAGACATTAGGTACCATATCTTGGCCAAGATTCCGTTGGACTCTATGGAGCCCCACTGGATGACAGTTAGTTACTGAGCGAAGAATGAGGGGAGACGAGATAGTGGGCACATACACCGACAACGAAAAACACGCCCGCAAAGACTGCCGCAGGCATGGTATGTAGGACGATGAGCAGGGGACCTGTCATAGTACCCCAAATGGCCATGCCCATAAGGAAATGGCTAATCCGCTGCTCAACCACAGCAGTAGCTACAACCTCTGGCTTGCGAATCTCGCGGCTATCCTTAGTCTCAGTAATGTTGAGCCTTGTCTCGTATATGGTTAAGGAGTCGGTATGCACTGGCGCTTGAGGTACGAGACCATTAGGAAGAGGAAGACCGATAACGCCACTGACGAAGCAGGTACATCCAAGCAGAAAAAAATCCCAATGGAAGCCGGCAGGTTTCTTGAGGGGATATTGACGGGCTTGTGCGGTAAGGGAGGAAACGTTCTGTAAATAGACGTTAGCTTGGATCACTGAAGAATGAAAGGCTCTAAACTTGCATGATCGTAGTAGAATAGCAACATCATCAAGAAACCAAATGGTAAAGCTACAAACACCCACTTGACATCAAGATTCCAGAAGTCGATTACCCAATCGCGATTCTGAGTCGGCTGGAAAGCTCCTACAATCGGAACACGGTACATTGCGGTGTCTTTCAGTCGTCCAGGGATATGTGAAAAGCCGACCCAGAACAGCGTGGGAAAGACAAAAGAGTAATCGGCTAGAATACCACGTATGAAAGGGTTGAAGATCGTGCTGCCCCCAAGCTTTTCGAGACCGTAGACAGAGCCAAAGTAGAGAATTGCGATGACGATAGAGAGGTAGCCACCCTCAAATTCGGAGGCTTCGAAGAGGTAGACGAGCTCCTCAACACCTTTGACTATTGAGAAATTAATCACAAGCTTATAGTAAGAGCTCGAGGTTCACATACCGCAGTAGATAATACCAACATACAAGCCGAACGTTTCACTCGAAAAGTCGGTAACGTAAGCCATGTAATCGCAGAAGTTTCCGAACGACACAATCCAGTGGAAAATGGCAGCCCAGATGCCGACCCAGGCTGTGAATGCTGGATATATACTAGGTTCGTAGAGCGTGATGATGTCGTAGATGGTATAGTTGAACAGCGCAATCAGACCGGTTACGCCGACGATTGTCAACGGTTGACATGAGAGTAGACTGAACACCATTGCTCCCAACGCTGACGAAAACAAGGCTTCGTTG